CCGGCCAAGCATCAGCCCAACTACACAAAAAGTTACTAGTCTTTTCCCAAGTTTGGCATTTCAAAATGCTTGTCCAAAGCCCTCTCCTGGTCCTCCCAGATACGGGTAGCGATGTGTCCTAGAAAGATAGGAATCACACTCCCGTCTACAGGTCCCCCAGCCACCTCACCCCTCACCACCCAAGATTCATTAACGACCCTCGACCGTTTTCTGCTTACCGTAGACACAGTGGACGCAGAAGATGTTAAGATCTAGTAATCAATCTACCCTCTCTACCCTTACGCACATCTACCCTACGCGTCTCATACATATCATCAAGTCTCTAACTGAATGGACCGTAATCATCATATGGTCCACTCTGATCGTCGACATCCTCATCTGCATCCTCCTCCTCTTCCACCTCTTCCTCCTCATCACCATCATCATCTTCATCATCCTTAGAATAGTGTACCTGTTCTCTATGAGCCGAGGCCGAAATACCACGGGATCTAACGTGTCTGGGCCCCGAGCTCTCCATTGATAGATCGTACTTCTCATAATGTCCATACTCTTCCCCGCACCAAGTCCAAAATGCGATGCCTAACTCCATGTAAATAACGAAAAATAATAACGAAAAAATTCAACAAAGTCGAAAATGCACACAAAAACAAAAAAAACACCAAAACATACAATATGAACTTAAGAAAAGTAAATACAAAATAAATAAATAAAAGAATATACAAATAACGGAAAAAAAAATATTAACATAAAAAAAAATTAACAAATTTGAAAAAAAAATATAAACATAAAAAAAATTAATAAATTTGAAAAAAAAAATATAAACATAAACAAAACAATATACCAAAAACAAAAAATATAAAAAAAAACAATAAAATATAAACAACAAACAAAAAAATGAAAAAATGAAACAGATAAACAAAAACAAAAAAAATCAAAAATACAAAGAAAAAACCAAAAAAACAAAAAAAAAAGGACAATAAAACAAAAAATAATAACCAAAAAAATTGAAACAACACCCAAAACAAAAAAAAAATGATAATAATTCAAAAAATAAACAAAAAAAAATATGGAAAAAAAATCCAAAAAAAACAAATTACAAAAATTTAAAAGAAAAAAAAACTAGAAAAAATAATGAAAAAAAATAATAAAACGAAAATAAAAACATTTAAAAAAAAATGAAAAAAAAGGAGGTGGCGTCCTGGCCAGGCGCCGTCACCGTGGCTCTGGCGTCCAGCCCAGCCGCCACCGTGGCTGTGGCGTCCAGCCCAGCCGCCGCCACCTCTCCCGATTGTTTTTTTTTTTATTTTTTTTTAATTTAAATATACCTTTCCATCACGAAGCCGCCTTCCTCCTGCCATCGGTGTCGCCACTTCTTTGCCTTGCCGCCTCGACATTTTAGAAAAAAAATTTAGAGAGAGAAAATGACGGTAGAGAAGATGAGAGCGTGTTTTTTACTTTGAGGGAAAAAGTGTCATTTTACTTCAAATTTGTGGGCTTTATGTAGAGATTTGCGGGCGATGTTTAGTAGTTCACCAATGTTAACACAACTCTCCTTGTAATTCATGTACCCGAACCCAAAGAGTGGAATTACTCAAGAACTATTCAGATCTCAAAGGGTAGGTTTGTGTTTGTGTGTTTAGGTTTTTCAATAATGAAAAATAACGTATCTCTGAAATAAGGGCTAAGGAGTAGTATTAATAGGAGAAGAAAGAAAAAGAAACAAACAAGGAAAGCCTACCACGCAAAGCCCATACCCACGGCCAAGTGAGCTATCGCTTGGCCTTGCCGCAAGGCTATGTGAGCAGCGAGCTATAGCTCACCTGCATGCGAGCTATCGCTCAGTCCTGCCGTAAGGCATTGTGGGCAGCGAGCTCTAGCTCTCTCGCATGCGAGCTCTCGCTCGGACCTGCCGCAAGCTATTGCAAGCAGCTAGCTCTCGCTCAGCCATGCTGCAAGCAATCCGAGCATTTGAGCTCTAGCTCTCTTGCTAGCTCGGCCTTGTGTGGCTCACTAATATTGCTTGCTACATTTCTCTCTCTCGCTAGCTCCTTGCACACATCGGCACCAAAGGTAACCATACTCACTTAGCAACACTCCAATTTACATTACAAGGATTATTACTCCAACATTCTTTACATAGCATAATACATACTTATCTAACAGTTAAAGAATAGAAGGAAATCACACAAAGTATGGTAGAAAAGATACGATTGATACTTAATACATAATACATTGAAATAAACATATAACAGACATAATAAAAGCACGAGTATCGTAACTAGAGGTGAAAGTTTGGTCTGCGGTGTGGTTTATAGCTCAAACCGAAACTAAACCATGTTAATTCGGTTTTGGGATTTTCAAACCACACCGCACCATATTACTATTGAAATCGAACCAAACCACACCGTTTAAATCCGGTTTTTGTAAAAAAAACCAAACCACACCGCAATTTTTTGGACCTAGTAATTTGGACCTTAATTTGCAATTTTTTATGGGCCTAATTACTCGAAACCTGTTTTTGGGTTTGATTATCCAAAAATAAAGCCAACAAATGTCAAATAATGAAATAACAAGTTCTAACTTCTAAAGAAGTAATGATAGTGACTTAGTCTTACAAGGCCTATAATTTGGATATGGGTTATATTTCGGTTTGGATTTCGGTTTTTTCGAATTTTCAAATCCTTAAACCGAAACCAAACCACATTTTTTTTTCTCAAACCAAACCGAACCATATTAGAAAAAGAACCGCACCGTATTTCTAATTCTGTTTGGTTTTTAACCGCATTAGTTTCACCCCTAATCGTAACAATTGGAATATTTCTGGTACAATTGTTGTACAAAGGTATACAAGGGTCCTCTCACAAAGGGGGGGGAAACAAGGGGATTTTTTTGGAATTTTTTTTTAAAAAATAAAAATCAATTTGCAATTCTGATTGGTTGAAAGAAGGGTGTTGTACCACATGGCATATACAACGGTTGAAAATGATTTTTTAGCGAAATTGGATCAAAGCATTTTTTTTTTTTTTTTGAAAAATGATTGACATATCTCTAATGGCTACATAGCTATAAAAAAAAATAAAAAGAAAAGAAAAAAATAACACATTGCACCATTCTATGCATGATTTTGTCATAAATTTTCAATTTATACCGTTTTAGCTTAGAAAATATAATTTCATAATATAACTCCCTAAATTTTATAATATAACTCCCTAAGTCCTTATGTTTCTATTTATATAAATCCTATTTGAAAATTATGTAATCTCTCGATAAATCTATAACTAAAAACATACTTATGTATGATTTTTATTTGTTCAATTCAATTATACTTATAACAATAACCTTTGTGTACATCTGGTTTACAAATTACAATTAGTGTATTGAACAGTTTTAAGTAACTTTTAGCCAATTTGGGGGTAATTTTTAACCTCAAACCTAAAATGATTTTAAGTTTTTAATGTATATAGACAATGGGATAAGATTTATAAAGGTAACATAGTTACTTTTGCTGATTTTCTTTTACATGTTTATATAGGGTTACTTTAGATTACTTTGATATATATTGGGGTAACTTTTGTTTATTTCGAGGTAGTTTTTGATACTTCTAGTATAAGACAATTTAAGTGTACAATATTTATTGCACACCCAAATTTTTGAACATAGTTTGTGTAAGTATAATTTTACAATATATATATATATATATATAATTTTTTTTTAATTTTTTTTTTAATTTTTATTTTTTACAAGAAGAACAATATCATTAATAATAATAGACTTAAATGATAATATTAGGGTTCCAAGAGAATAAGGGCCTATTCAGTTTAACTTATTATTCAGGTAAGTTCAGTTCAGAAAAAATAAGTTATAATAGGAATTACCAAACTATGGAGTACAAATTACAACAAAAATAAATTTTGATAAAATCAAATAAATTCAAATAAAATAAGGGGCCGTTTGGTTTGCATAGGATAAACAAAATGGAATGAACTAAGGGGAAAAAAGAGAATGGAATGAAAAACCATTCCATGTACAATGTTGGTTGTTTTTTTTTAAAAAAAAACAGAATGAAACAAACCACCAGTTGAACCACCACACCACCACCATATAACCACCTATTTCCATCACTTTGAAACCTATTCCAGCCACCAACCCACCACCCAGCCTCACTCGCGGTACATCCCCCACCCTTCCCTGCCCGTCCTCTCTCCCCGAAAAGCCCTCCCCCTCCCCTGAAAACATTCACCCACCCGCGAAAAAACCCTAGAAACCCCTTCCCCTCTTTGTAAAACCATCGGCCACCCTTCCCCCTACCCTCGAAACCCTAGTTGCTAGTGGTGGTGGTCAGATCGTGCGCGTGGAGGGTGGTGGTGGTTGGAAACGTGCGTGTGGAGGGAGTGGTAGTGTGGTGTTGAAAAAGTGAGTTTGAAGGAGATAGTGGTCGGAAGGAGGCTAATCGAAGTTCCTACCGGAGTCTTCATCGCCAGTGGCCATTAGTGGTTGCTGCCGGCGGCCTTTAATGGCTGCTGCCGGTGGTTTTGGTTTTTTAGGGTTGAGGAGAGAGAGTGAAGGTGATGGCCATGAAAAGGGAATGGAAAAGGCTGGGGGGGGGGGTTTGGGAATGTGGAATAAAATAGGATGAACTCAAAAATAAAAATGGATAAAGGGAATGACAAAGTGACGAACAAACAACAACAAAGGAAATGAGGCCTATTCATTCCCTTTCCCTTTGATTATTACACCCAACTAAACGGCCCTTAAGTTAAGTTTAAATAAGTGAAAAAGGTGAATATACACACTTTCAATAAAAAAACTAGGGAGTAGCTCGGGTGTTGCCCCGGGTTACTATTATTGTAGACGTGCAATCGATAATTTTTCTAAAAACATTTTAAAATTGTAATTGTCATTGTCAAACTAAAATTGAGTTGTTTTTTAGTATATTTTATTTTAATTAAACCTTGTGGTTTGCACTTATATAAATTTTGTTACATATTAATAATATACTTGATAATTGGCTTAGATGGTGAAATGGTTATTCTTGTTATAAGAGGTTGAAGATTCGGTCCTCCTCATCCTTATATTTATATGCATTCAAAAATTCAATAATGTTGTTATGTTGGAGGGATTAAATGACACATGACCTTGGTATTAGGAGAATTTTTTATTTTATTTTATTTTTTTATTTATTTTTAAAACAAAAACCACTATGATACAAAAAAATAATAAGCCCGAGAACATGGCAAATTTTTGAACAGGAGAACCCAAAAAACAAACACACGCCCATAATTTTGTCAAAATTTCGTTTCTATGTTATAATTTGTTAATTTTTTGTTCAAATAACTGGTGTTCAATTCTTCAATTCGTTGATTTCCCACGAAAATTGATGCCGGAATAACCAATTTAGGGTTAATTGATGCGAAATATTGGCAACATTGAGATAGTTTTCCCGGGTTAGGGTTTCCAATTTCCGAATTTTGATGCAACAAACCTCAATCAAATTGAATTAATTAGACATGAGCAGATTATCGTTTCGACCTCGTCCTCTGGACATTCATAAGAAACTCCCCATTGTTAAATCTTTCAAAGATTTTGAAGATGATGATACTCCAACTTCTACTCGAAATTCCCAAATTTTACGCTATGCTGAGCCTGAAAATGAGGTATTATTCATTTTATTAATATCCCAGTTAATTTATCTCTTTAATTTTTCATGGTATTGAATTTTTTGTAATTTTGTTGAACTTCTCATTTTCTGTTGAAATTGGAAATTGAAGAAGTTGCTAATTGAGCTTGTTAGAAGACTAGAAGTTGATTAAATGCTTGTGTTATGTTATGTAGTGATGTGTGTGAACTTCTGTTGTAGGTTCAACATGTTCCTAGTAAGAAGACTGCGGCCGAAATACCGACCCCGGAATTTGTTGTTGTTGATACATATGAAAGGGATTACTCTCGCACATTTTCCCAACCAAATTCATATATACGTGCAAGAGGAGGTTTGTGCTGTGGCTTATTTACTTCGCAGTTTATTCAAGCGCGCATATTGATTGAAATGCTCGTGTTAGACGTGTATATAACCTGTTGGATGGCTATAGCTACTTGGGTGTTATGTTTAAAGGACAATTGGAAGTCATTGAAAAGCTTTATGTGTCCACGTTGGATATTTATGACAATTTTTATGGATTTCGAGTAATGTAGGTTAGTGTTTGTGAATATCTGCAGCGCGAGCTGAGCTTGGTGAATTTGTTGAGTATGACTTGGACATGGAGGATGAGGAATGGCTTCATGAATTCAACAAAGATAAGAAGATTCTATCACCTGAAAAGTAATGTGATAAATAACGTTTCTTTCTTTTAACATTTGTGTATTTTGGGATGAGTACATTTAGTGATTCTTTGTGGTGCTCCGTGTATGGTATTTTTGTATTTGTTGTACATTAGTGAAGAGATGAAAGTTCTTTTTATTAGCATACATGATATATGTTTGGTATCTAATTATGTTGCCCTGCTTATTGTTTTAGACTTGAAAATCTTCTCTTTAAGTTGGAGGTTCTCGACCATAAAGCACGGGAAAGGGCAGGTGTTATAGCACAAACACTGGGTTCCGCAATTCCTGTTCTTCTACATATCGATGCTGCAGTTGAGGTATGGGAGGTGGACTGATGGCTGTACTTTTCATTTGTTTTTTTTTCTTTGGCCTTATCCTAACCATGCCTTTTTTTAAGTTTAATTTCCCATGATGGAATTTGTAGGCCCTGCAATCTCAGCCGATAAAGTACGCTGTTCTTGAATCTGTTTATTGGTACTGGAAGGAGAAGGTATGCAGTGAAATTCTATTTTGCAGCTTTAGTAGTTTGATCTTCAAAATCCTATGTTCCTGTAAGACCTTCCAGTGTAATACCAATTAGTTTAAATGGTGTGATGGTATACACTGATCTAGTTTGAGGAGGCTATGGAAAGTACTGAGTGTTTTCTTTTTATAAATTTTTTAGACTAGTTTTGTAAGATTTTAAAAAAAAATTGTATGGTATTTGATGGAATCACATTGTCATTGTAGACCATTATTTTACAGCAAGGGCTGTTATAATATGTTGTGGAAGCCATTGAGCATATCAGTTCAATTGAGGAAAACTTTATACCAAGGGCTTGTTTCTTATTGTTATTGTTTTCCTGTTTTCAGTTTTTTTGTATACAAAATTCCAAAATTAGAAAACCAGAAAAGGTGCTTGTCACTTTTCCGTTGTCATTTTTCTAAATATTCATGATTTCAATAAGTTTGACTAATTTTTGATTTTTTATATGACATATATTGTGTGACTTTCAAAAACAAAAAACCAAAAAACTGAAAACTACAATGATACCTAATGAAGTAATGAACCCTAAGTTTTTTTTTTTTTTTTTTTTTTTTTTTTTTTTTTTTTTTTGATAATAATAGAGATTACATTTGAGAGACACCAAAAGGGTAAAGAGGCCATGGGAGGAGAATAAACTCATGCCCTTGAGTTATATGAAGCAATTTTATCTACAAAATGAAGAAAGTTCCAGTATTTCTTAAAACCTATATCTTGATTCCAGTGATGCAGAAGTGGAGAAGCCTATATAAATGAACTTAAAACCTTGAGTTCCTTGACTCAGGGAAGCTCTATCAAAAATAATCTGTTGGTTTTCTTCTTTCCAAGTGTGCCACTAAATTGCTAACATGCCATCTTCCACCTTTCAACTCAGCACATATTAGTATATGTCATTTGGTAGTCTGTTAATGAAGCTGAATTCAACTCAGCACATCGTATTATTCAGTTTAAACTATATCTAGAATACCACTTTAGTTGCAGAAGTCTTGAAATTAAGTAACACCAACTTACTCTGGTGATAGCACTTACATTTGACAGCTGGCATGAGGTTTCATTTCTTTGTTAATTGTTATACTTTGGTCAGATGTATTTAACACAATTTATAAATGAATTTGGCTGCAGCAGATTCAGCATGGTTAAAACTAGTTATCCATATTACATCTGCATCAAGAATGATAAATTTGTACTACATAAAATTAGGTGCATTATAGGAATGCTCACAAGAGTCACAACTGTAAAAATCTGACACACGATAGTTTGTTTAGTCTCTGCTTCTGTAGGACTCATATTATTTACGTTCATGTTCCATTTTATATCTTTCTTAATTGAGGTACAATTCTGGCACTATAGTACGTTATGTAAAATTACTTTATTTATTTATTTTTCCTTTCACAGCGTGAGCGGTGGCAGAAGCCTATCCTTAGGCGCTTGCAGGTTAGTCTGAAACCCCTTGCTTACAGGAAACAATACAGCTGTATGTGTTTTCTGTGTTGTTTAGTTTATGCATTGCTGCAGGTGCTTCTGACAACATTTCACTGACTACTACTAAGCTCTTCTTTAGAGCTGGAACAAAAACTTTGCCTAATTTAAGTGAATCATATATTTGAACAACTCTCTTACTGAGTTTGGGTATCTTTCTCTAGAAACTGGCACTTTCCATGTGTGATGGGCAGGAAAAGAGTCCAATTCATGTTGGAAACTGTGCAGTCAGGCTTACATTGCTAGTTCAGTAGTTTTGTTCTTATACTGATTGATTTGATTGTGATTCTTCACAGCCACCACCTCCTGTCAATGATACAAATCCATACAATGTGTTTAGGCCAAGAGAGAAAGCCCACAGACTCCATACAAGAAGGGTGCGTACCTGAACTATTAATGCATTCTTCTTCAGGATATCAGATTGTTCATTTATCTTCAACATCCACTTTTATATTATCGTAGTGTAAAAATAATCAAATCGTATTCCTTTTACATATAGATGCAAAGGAGGGAAAACAATGTGCAATCTTTTGAAAAGCTTCGTCAGGTAAGAAAACCTTATCCATGGTTCAGTCAGTTTTACAGTATTTGAATTAGTCTAAGATCACGAGGATGTTTTCTACAACCTAGAACCAAGAGGAACATTGTTTTTGTTGAGAGTTTTGTGGTGGTGGCAAGCATGTTTATGCTATTGATTGCCTTTGGTAGTCTAGAGATATTGGGAAATTTTTTTTGTTGAGCAGTTCATTTTGTTTTTCTTTTTTCCCTGGCAATTTCCTGAGGAGAAAAATCTGACTGGAGTTTTAATACCGTTTCAGGTCAGACGCAACCTTGACCAAGCGAAGACCATCTTGGAAGCACTGATAAAGGTGTATTTCCTATGCTACTTGAGTTTTTTTCCTTGGATTGTTTGTGTTTCTTGTTTTTGATAAAGCCTCTTTTTCTTGTGCTCCCTTTTACTTAAATCCCTGTATTTTGGATTGTTGTTGTTGTTACTTCTTATTTATCAGAATTCTGTTTATATATATATATGTTTTTCTCTTCATGGATCATTGGTTTCCTTTATCTCTAATCATTTATGACTGTGTGCAGAGAGAAGAGAAAAAGAGAGATGTTATGGAGAATGAAGTGAGCCTTCAGAGGATACAATTGAAGTACAAGGTACTTACGATGTTCTATTTAATGCCTTTATTTGAAGTAGCTCCTATAAGTGCAGTTGCATTTATTGCAAATATATTGTCGTCTTTGGTATCATAATTTATCTGGCCTATGTTAGTGATCTTCAATTGTAATTTATCGTCCTTTTTGGTCCAATGAGAAAGATTAATATCATAATTATTTATCTGGCCTATGTTAGTGATCTTCAATTGTAATACACTGTCCTTCATATGCTGAGCAAAGCCTAGTCTTTTTTTTTTAAAAAAAAACTGAATCTGTTGTTTAGTGTGCTATGCTGTAAGAACCGAGGATGATATTAGTACCAAGAGTACCCTTGCTGCTCTTTCCGTTGTATGATTTTAAAGTAATATCATACTGTCATGAGAGAAGTGAACAAATGACGTCAGGAATCCGTTGTCAAAAATAAATAAAATAATTAAATTGAAGCATTGATTGAACACAATCCAATTCTAATTGATTGAAAAATGCCTGTTGTGCCAACTGCCTCTGTACGACAATAATTACATGATGTCTTGTTTCTGTAGCATGAAACTGAGCTGCTTGAAGATAGCTTTATCCTTCCGTCGTTTCAACCTTTCTCTAAATTTGGCTCAAGTGAAGATGAATTTATGGATTCAGAAGATGCTGCAAACAACCAGCTTCCTGTCCAACCTGGTAGAGTACCAACTCAGTTTGTTGATTCTAAGCCTGTGATGGTTCAGGCAGGAAGCTTGAGACATGATTTGAGATGGCGAAATGTAGCAAGCAATTGGATACGTAGAGTGGTAAGTGCATGCCTGTGATTATAATTTTCTATCTTTTAGATTTTCAAATTTGGCTAAGTAATTGTTACGCCCATTTAAGCATACCTAGTTACCTACCCTCATATTGAAGGGTTGTATTTTGTCCTTTGTCCCTAGTTGATATTTAAATTGTTGACTGCCTCAAAATATGAGAATGCTATCATCGGAAGTGCAATGGAAGTGTGAGCAAAAGGTCAACACGGTTGTCTTAAATGAGGACAGAAGGGAATCTTTTTGTTATGCATTGTGCTTTTTCTATATTTCCCTTTTGATTGGGGAGTCTTTTGCAGGATCCATTAGAGCCAGTTATGGCGTTTACCAAGCCTCTTGTTCCAGAGAAGCTGGCAGCTGCTGGAATTGCACCCCCTTCAGATTCAATTGTGCCCCCTTCAGATCCCTCAAAGTCTTCTGGTTCTGCAAGATCGCATGCATTTCGTGGGAGAATTGGTCGAGGGGGAAGAATGATATTTGATAGATGGAATCCACTTATGCATACACCAGTTAACTGTGGAGATTCCTTGTACCTGTCTCCGAGACAACAGCCCTAAACACAGTTTTACGTAGCCAGGCTAGTCTGGTTTGAGCTGTTCTTTGTAAAAATGCGGGAACCAAGTTGTCGCTAACTTGTCCTTTGCCAATCCAGCATCTATTAAATGCTAATTTGCTGTTTCATCAGTTCATCACCCTTGTACCGGCAGCATGCAGTCCTTTTTGGAAGGATTTTTCTAAACCGTTAAAGTGCAGTGGAGTCATCTTGCAAATTGAAGGTATGCATATTGGTTTGGAAGAATATGATCGATCCACAGGAACTAAGCGACCTACTTAAATGCGGGGAGCAGCTTCCTGATACTTTGTATTACCACTGTATTCTATCAACAAATGAGCAGTCCCTTTGATGATTTGTTGGTATTGTCATGCTACGTCAAAAACGTAGGTGAAACTACATTGTTGTTATTGCACCTCTTGTTTAAGTGATTGAACTTAGGCTTTGTAAAATTGGAAACGAAAATTTCAATTAAAACATGATTGGCTGTGTATAGCTTTGTAGAATAGGTGATTCATGGTGAACTATGTCGTCATGTTTGCAATTCGGTATAGCTCTATTTAGTATTCCAGTGCTTTGCAAGCTGTGAAGTTTGTGAATTATTTGTGATTTATAACTGTATGCTTTATTCTAGTTTCTTCTCTTTGGTCTTATGTTGTATTCTTTACTGAAAACTATCTGCGATCACAACTCAAAGCTAGGGCCAATGTTGGAAATTTGTCGGGGTTCACATGGAAAATCAGGCAAATTTGTAATATCTCGGTATCTTTTTTAATTGCATTAAATAAAAAAAAATTAAAAAAAAAAAAAGGTCATTGGACCCTAAAAAAAAATGGTAGTTTGTTTTAATTCGGATATTGGATTGGATCAAAACTATACAACTATACATCTAATTGGCATTGGATTTAGGAAAAATTCGATTTGGATTGGACTCAACTTTTAAAAATCGAATTCCAATTTAGATTGGATTGGATTTGGATCAAATCCAAACCAAACCAAACATTGAATTCACCCATAGCAGCTCTGTGGCAGACACTTCAGGAGGATTTCGTGATCAGGGAACCAATGGTCAAACGCTTGGAGATGCAAAAAGAACAGTACAGGAAGGATATGATCAATCGGGGATTGTTGCCTAGAATGGCATTTGGAATTAACAGAGACGGTTGTGGAGAAACTGTAACCATTTCTTGTTTTATGGTGTGTGCTCTTGTACTGCCTGAACCAGAACCTGTACAAGAGGTCCGGTTTCGGGTAGCAAAATGGAGAACTTGTTGCAACAAGTTTCGATTTTGGTTCTCACTTTTTTGGAACCAGAACCTATAGGGTACCCTGTAACTTGATAAAAGTATCACTTAAGTTTAAATTATACACCAACTATAACCTATTTTTTTAAATAATAAATATCAAAATTATAATTATAAATATATGTATTAAATTTACTCAACAATCACTATTAGTTTGTTTTATTTGCGAGTTATAAACATTATAAATTAGTGACCATCTAGTTTTTTTTTATAAAAAGTTCTGCAAAAAATTATCAAGTATATCACAAGACAGGGTACCCTGAATCGGAACCGGAACCTATAGCTGTTCAACAGGTTCCGGTTCCAGGAATTTTAACAGGGTACCCTATTACGCTCACCCCTAACTGCAATAATTATATTCGTTTCTCGGTTGAAAGACATTAAGAGAATGAGATCAGCATGTAAGGATTCTATATATGGTTCCTCTTATGTTGTTCTTGGATGTAAGTTTTGAGTTTTCTCAAAAAAAAAAAAAAAAAAAAAGGAAAAAAAAGATTTAAGTTTTGAGTTGTGGTGCAAAGTGAAAATATGTCACTCCCTTTCCATCATACTTTCCCAGCTATCCATGGATAAGGATTCTTCCAGAGTTCCTGTGCTTACTATCATATTTGTAACAGCGTCGCCTGTCGCCCTTGCTATCGTATTTGTTAGCATATAGGTAGTATCGGAGTATGTAGTAGTTCCAAGGTGTGCTTTCCCTACAAAAAATATATTTGTATCTTCCATGAACAGATGATATATGCAGGGAATAGGCTTGCTGGCTCTGTTTTCCTAACCAACTTTCACCAACTCTTGATTCATTCCTTATGACCAAGTCAATTTTCCTCCTATATAAACCGCAATTGTATTGATGCAGGCGTATAGCCAAGCTACAGATCATTTGATTAAAATGAAGATTGGTATAGGTGTAGAAAAAATGTGAATAATATGAAAAATAAACATACTAATACTAATATAGCAAGTCTCTAACAAGAAGTCGAGAACAATTCAGATTAGGTCGGAAGTGTTGACACGATCACAATATCACCTTACCAAGGGCCAGGAGGGTACACTTGTGTTATCACACGATATATATGACAAAAATCCAATCTATGTATTATAGAAATGCTTCTTTTGTAATGTGTATACATCAATACAAGCAGTTTGAAAGAAAGACTCTGGAAGTAAATTGCCTAGAATTGAAATGGAGAATCAAAGAAACGCTATGTAATTCTGTGGTTTTGTACATATAAATATTTATACACACTGAGCACAACTCGGTGCTATACACTTTTCCATTGTAAGATCTATCACTCTTCAACAGGTTTAGAAGATGTTTGACTACCACTATAAAAACAAAGTCTTAGTCCCAAAATGATATGGGATTGGTTAACATGAATTGTCACAAGGAATCATCCACGAAAAATGAGAAAATGGTGTTTGACTGAAGCAGTAATAACTATGAGAGTATGGGTGGTTTTGGAGTAAAAAAATGGTATGTTTTAAGTTTTTAAAGGGAACACGCAGAGTCCAATCTCAGACCATTGAGTTTGTTACTGCTGCAAACCAGGGCATCAGAAATGCTGCACCCTGACTGCCCGAGTCTTTGCAACCGACCATTTCTGCGGTGATGTATGGAAACTTTTCTCTACCTCATATCTGGATAAACTTCTTCACCCACCGCTAGCCATGAATTTAATTCCTTGTTTTCCAGACTGCACTTCTCAACTCGCAGCAGTATTCCAAACAATATTCTTCCCTGCTTCAAATAATTCAATTAGCCATTCAAATTCAATAAGATAAAGCATAAGAATTAAGTACATATTCAAGTAGGAAGCTATGTCCTACCTTCTCCCGCCTATATGATGCTAAAGTTGCCAAAGGTTCGCTTGTTTTGTGCACATGTTCTGATTGATGATCAAAGTTGATCATCTGGCATCGGTTGCATCCTCCTAATGACTATCAGAAACATATAAACAATGAGTGGTAAATCGATTACATCATATGACTAATGGACATTAAGTTGATGCTTTGGATTTGTGAAACTCTCAAACAATGAAGACTAACAAAATAACATATTAAAAGCAGATTGTTCCAATGAGAACTTTTAATAACAAAAATATTCATATTTAATAACTCATACAAGTAGGGAAGACCGGAAGTGTATCAGGAACTTATTTTTACTTTTAGATTCAATTGAAAACACAAACTTACTGAAAAATACTTGCTCCCAATTCGAATTCCTCTCCATAGATCTTCATCATATGGCTCTCCCCCGGATATGAGAAGGTTGGGGCGGAATCTCATTGGGGAAACCTGAGTAATTGGTGCTTGGAGAACTTGAGATGTTTCTATAGCAAATTAAAAGAAATAACCATGATCAGTTAAATGATGTAGCAAACATATTTCATAATTTTTGTTGGCAGAAGATTGCTATATTGATAATAAACTAGGAAGTCATGATAGAAAATATGGATGTGGAATAAAACGAGCTTTGCCACAAATCAGTCATAGCATTGCTTTATTCCTGAGCACCATCCCGAGTACAAGTAAATAGTAAAAAAGTTTTAAAATTGCGATTGAAATCATAATTATGATTGCATGCACAAAACCAGACGGTATAAGCCATAGATTACCAACTGCAAAAGTCGACTACTGGACTAATTGAGAAGTCCAGGATAAGGATTCAGCCATACCAAAGATAAAGAACAGAATTAAACATCACATTCAATATTTCATCTGATATACTGTGAAGGCTGAACATCCAGCAGAAGTTAAGTAGGCTGCTAGACAAAAAACCAAGAATAGTGTCTAATTACATAATTTCAAACTGTAGAGGACCAAGTCTCAGTCTGGTTATCCTTAATTCAGAAAAAATCAGATCAGATTATTTGTACTAGTATTGGTCTTCAGATTCTAGAGAAGGCCAGAAAAATAGATTAATGTTAGTTCAATTCATTAATTTTAGCTGAGCCGAACAGAGCTTGATTGCTGGCACAAGTGGGCTGAGATGAAACAACAAAGTCAAGAACAGAATGTATTCAAGTAGGTGTACAATGAGCGCAAGCCTCATTCAGGTACCTGCAATCAGGCTATCCTCTGATACTAATTTTTACCAAGCAAAGTACAATAGTTGGGAATTTCAATAACTAATGGGCAGTTGATGTGTAAGGAAATTTCATGATTAAAAGAGGAAGAGAGGGGGGTGGGGGGTGGAGGTGACTAGTGAATTTGCTTGCTTCGACGCTAGAATTTGATATTTGCTTCTCAGAGGTCAAAAATATGTAAATATAGCTGCATTTGACTCAGTTTTTACAGCATAGCATACTGAACAACAGATTCAGTTGCCAAAAAAAACAGAATAGGATTTGTTCAGCATATGATGAGGATAGGTGGATGGAATATAAGTGAATTGTTCAAATACATACTTGATTTTAATCTATCGTTGAGATCCATAACACTTGCTTCGGATATGAGCAAGAATTGGGCTTCGTTGACAAAATTTAATGAACTCTCCACATCCCTGCACATGCCTGCATTTCCCTGTTTGTTTATATAACAATTTGAAGCTGAGGATCTCCAAAGAATGCATGGGCGCGCAATAGCATTACTAAACCAGCTGTTGACTTCCTGATCATAACTCTGCACTTCATATCTGGTAATTGTCATTCCACCTCTTAGCATATTATTATGTAGTCTTTCAACAGGACAATTGAAAACAATTGCTGTAACTTCACCCATCAAGCAAAGATAGAATAACAGGATCATTGTTTGGTTGCATATACTTAACTAAAGCTACTCAAACATTTCAAAATGAGTAGGGTAAAGAAAGCAGCAAAGCACCAATTGGTGAAAAAAAGATGAAACGTATATCTCCAAAGAAGTGGTGTTTCAGAATTTTGCAATTATTAAATTGGGTATATATATTCCATATCTATTTAGAAACCAAGTTATCCAAGGAAGGAAGACAAATGGCAGATTAAATAAAGTATGTAATAGCACAAAGCCTATCCTATAAAAGAATTTGAACCAAGGGAAAGAAGAGTAGAATAGTGTCTTTTTTTAAAACCCTTATTCTAGTAGTATTATGCGTCGTATATGACTGCAGTTATCCCGCTTGGGTCAACATAACCCTACCTTGATTACAAAGATCAAAAGTATGAAAGAACTCAGACTCAAATCTTTAATAAGCTTGAAAAGGCCTTGTAAAAGTTAGGTTAAATTTAATTAACCTGGAAGGACAGGAAAGGTCACCATATAGACGAGAAGAAATTGCGAGAGGTCATTATAGGAAGTAATCAGTATTTAGGATAGAATGGATGAGGTCTTCATTATATGGGAGATGTAGGAAAAGAAGATAGATGATGTAA